TGAGCCAGGAGAATGGCGTGAACCCGGGGGTGGAGCTTGCAGTGAGCTGAGATCTGGCCACTGCACTCCAGCCTGGGCAACAGAGCGAGACTCTGTCTCAAAAAAAAAAAAAAAAAGGCCGGGCGCGGTGGCTCAAGCCTGTAATCCCAGCACTTTGGGAGGCCGAGACGGGTGGATCACGAGGTCAGGAGATCGAGACCATCCTGGCGAACACCGTGAAACCCCGTCTCAACTAAAAAATACAAAAAACTAGCCGGGCGAGGTGGCGGGCGCCTGTAGTCCCAGCTACTCGGGAGGCTGAGGCAGGAGAATGGCGCAAAACCTGGGAGGCGGAGCTTGCAGTGAGCTGAGATCCGGCCACTGCACTCCAGCCCGGGCTACAGAGCGAGACTCCGCCTCAAAAAAAAAAAAAAAAAAAAAAAAAAAAAAGAGGTCATAGAGGAGAACTCCGCAAAGGAGAGCAAGTACGGGCGGTCAGTGATGAAGGAGGTAACCTAAACGCCAAGCGGAGGGAGTTGATCAGGAGAAAAGAGGTCGCAAATGTGCCAAGGAAATGTGAAGGGGCAAGTCTGAGGAGAGCTGCCCTGTGAATCTGGCAGAGTGGAAGGGCCCAGGGAAGGTTTCCTGATGAATGGGAGTGAACTCAGTGAGTCTGTAGACGATGGGAATGATTTAGGAGAACACACCTGCTGACTTGGGAGACAGAAAGGAAAGTTGCAGGAGACATGCCCTAGACAGAGGACTGGCTAAGGGGCTAAGTAGAGAGATTTGCTTTAGGTAGGAACAAAGATGGTGCCCTAGGATCTCCGGTGAGGGGTTGGACTATGGCTCATGAGTGAGGAGACAAGACGGGGAGCCACTGACACTCTCACTGGATGCTTTATCTCAGTGACGCAGAAGTCGATGTTGAAAACTGAGAATTAGGACCAGGAGGAGGAATTGAGGTTGGAGGGCTTAGGAGAAGGAGAGAGGAGCAACAATCACACAGCAGAATAAGTGGACCTGGAGGGCGTCATGCTGCTTCCATGCAGTATAGGGTCGCCCTGGAGGTTGTGAGGTGGGGCCCCTCAGTGCCACCATGGATCCTATTGTGTGAATGCAAAGTGGATATGCAGTAAGAGAAGACAAAACAGAGCAGGCATAACAAGTTTTCAACACGACTGGAAATTCTGTCTAACTCAGGCTGTGCCAGGACATTCAGGAAGTCGCTCATTCTGGGTCACTTCCAAAGAGGAGACACTGGCTGAAGCCAAGAGATCTAGAAACCTTTGCATCCACTTTTGGCTGCAAGTCAGTCTGCTTGCACATGTGAAAATGTGAGAAGGAAGCGGTAGAGAGTACATCCGAGTAAAGCCTCCCCATGCTGCCATCTATAGAGCCTGACTTTTCTTACGAACTTTTATTAGTCCTCACTTAGCACTATACCTGAACTAGCTCGGCTCAACCACCAATTCTATGTTCTTTTCAGTACAGGCACGTATCTCTTGCAGAAAGAAAACAATGAACGTTACAGGGCTCACTGTAGCTGATCCAGGTGCTCCGGGTCCCCCAGGTGCCTCTTGTTGGTAGCTCTCCCTGCGGCGGGCTCTGCCTCGGGCGCGAGTCCTGGCCCTACCAGGCATTGTGGTCCTGAAGGTGATGACTCTGAAGAACACAGTTATATTAGACATCTCTGTGGAGTTGCCTGGTGTCTTACTCTTTTCAGTGCTGCTACAACAGAGTATCTGAGGCTGGGTAATTTATAAAGGAAGAGGTGTGTTTGGCTCATCATTCTGGTGGCTGGAAAGTCCAAGACTGGGCAGCCCATCTGGTGAGGGTCTCATGCTGCTTCAACTCATGGTAGAAAGCAAAAGTGGGGAAGAGGTGTGGACAAAGACCACATGGCAAGAAGTGAAACAAGAAAAACTGAGGAAGTTGGACCCTAACAACCAGCTCAGGCAGACACTAATCCAACTCACCTCCAAGGCAGGGAATTAACCTATTCTTAAGGATTCCACTCCCAGGACCCACACACCTCCCAGTAGGCCCCACTTTCCAATGCTACCACATTGGGTATCAAATTTCAGCCTGAGTTTTGGTGGGGACAAGCCATATCCAAACCATAGCAACTGGTAACGTTTTTCTTCCTATATGACTATTACTTTCAATAAAGCATCTGATTACTAATGACACACATTCTCCTAGGACACCAAAAAGACTGATTGCCCCGAGTCAGCAGAGAAGCATCCTGTAATAAAAGACAGGAGACCTAGTAAAACTTTTTTTGAGACAGGGTCTTGCTCTGTCGCCCAGGCTGAAGTGTAATGGTGCAATCTTGGCTCACTGCAACCTCTGCCTCCCTGGCTCAAGAAATTCTCCTGCCTCAGTCTCCTGAGTAGCTGGGATTACAGGCACGCACCACCGCACCCAACTAGTTTTTTGTTTTGAGACACAGTCTCACTCTGTTGCCCAGGCTGGAGCGCAGTAGTGAAATCTTGGCTCACTGTAATCTCCACCTCCCAGGCTCAAGCGATTCTCCTGCCTCGGCCTCCTGAGTAGCTGGGATTACAGGCTCACGTCACTACGCCTGGCCTAATTTTTGTATTTTTAGTAGAGACGGGGTTTCACCATGTTGGCCAGGCTGGTCGCGATCTCCTGACCTCAGGTGATCCACCCGCCTCAACCTCTCAAAATGCTGGGATTACAGGTGTGAACCACCGCACCCGGCCAAACTTTTCTAGAAATTTAAGGAAACTATGGTTATCTTCCACACACAGACTCACAAGACACTGGGGGTTACTACACTTGTCTGTATGAGTCAGGTGAGTAATGGGTTCTTCTCACCTCCCAGGCATCGCCACAAGCATAGCAAGGAGCCCAGGTGCCCCCAGGCCCTCCCACCCTACACTTAAACCTGAGCTCCCGCATCCTGAGTGGGTCCTCTGCCCACCCATCTCTGGCCTGGGCCCTCTGGACTCTGCTCCCACAGCTCACCTGCCCTCCTTCCACAAGAATTAGGGAGATCTGTGCGCTACGCACTGGCGCTCTATGGCCTCGAGTCCCTGGTCCCTACCCCGCAGCGTGCCGGCGCTGATCTCCGCGGGGTCAGAGGCGCAAAGCCCCTTTCCAAGAGGGAGAGCCTCCTGCCTTTCTGGGCACGCAGTCCCGGGCAGTCCCGTACGCCGCACCGGTCACTAAAAGGGCCCAGGGAAACAGACTGACCAGCCCAGCCTCCCGAGCAAGACGTGCCGCACACTCAGCATCGCCCCCGCCCCAATTCAATTTCAACCCTGGGGTCCCGGCCTTTTCTGGCGCCGCCTCCGTCCGGCCCAAAGAGGCCACGATGAACTGCACCTGGCGGGCTCAGAGATGCCGCCAAGTCTCCCAGGGATGGGAGTGGGGCCGGCTCGCCCTGCCTTCCTGCCTCACCATGTCTCACCCATTAACCATTCCCGGATTTACCTGCCAGGTGCCCTTACAAAATGATGTGCACTTGGAGCCCCAGGATGCAGCCATTACCACTTAGTAGCTTTAACCAACTCCCTGGTGTGGCCTGTGTAACTAAATGCAGCTGCTATGACCGTCCATGGACTCAAACCTAGATGCACCCTTACTCATCTCATAAGCACAGATCTCTACAAGTGGATCCACTGTCATGGGTAAGCTTTCCAGTATTTCTTAAAAATAAAAATAAATATAAATAAAATTTTAAAAACCTTATCTCTTGTATCCCTTTTTTCATCTATTTATTCCAGGTTTCTTTTCTTTTTTTTTTTTTTTGAGACGGAGTCTCACTCTGTCGCCCAGGCTGGAGTGGTGCAGTGGCGTGATCTCCGCTCACTGCAAGCACCACCTCCTGGGTTCACACCATTCTCCTGCCTCAGCCTCCCGAGTAGCTGGGACTACAGGCACGCGTCACCACACCTGGCTAATTTTTGTATTTTTTGTAGAGATGAGGTTTCACCACGTTGGCCAGGCTGGTCTCGAACTCCTGACCTCATGATCCACCCGCCTCTGCCTCCCAAACTGCTGCCTCCCAAAGTGTGCCACCACACCTGGCCTATTCCAGGTTTCTGTCATTCTTTTTGGCCTTGCCGTGTGTGTGTGTGTGTGTGTGTGTGTGTGTGTGTGTGTGTTTTGAGACAGGGTCTGTCTCTTTGGCCCAGGCTGGAGTGCAACAATGCAATCTCCACTCACTGCCACCTCAACCTCCCGGGCTCAAGAAATCCTCCGTCTTCCGGGCGTCCCAGTTGAGAAGATTTACAACAAAACCCAGCGGGAAAATTTGCCTGCCATTGACATGGCTGATGAAGACTACGAGTTTTAGCCAGTCTCAAGGGGCAGAGTTCTGTGAAAAGGAACAGTGTGGTTTGGAAAAATGGATAAACTGAGCCTCGCTTGCCCTCGTGCGTGGGGGAGAGAGGCAGCAAGTCTTAACAAACCAACATCTTTGAGAAAAGATAAACCTGGAGATAATAATATAAGGGAGAGCTGAGCCAGTTGGTCTATGGACAACTTATTTAAAAATATTTCAGATGTCAAAATTCTAGCTGTATGATTTGTTTGGAATTTGGTTTTTATTTTCAAGAGGGCAAGTGGATGGGAATTTGTCAGCGTTCTACCAGGCAAATTCACTGTTTCACTGAAATGTTTGAATTTTCTTAGCTACTGTATGCAAAGTCCGATTATATTGGTGCGTTTTTACAGTTAGGGTTTTGCAGTAACTTCTGTATTTTAATATAAATAAATTCCTAAACTCCCTTCCCTCTCCCCCATTTCAGGAATTTAAAATTAAGTAGAACAAAAACCCCAGCGCATCTGTTAGAGTCATCACTCTATTATCATGGGGATCAATTTTCATTAAACTTGAAGCAGTCATGGCTTTGGCAGTGTTTTGGTTCAGACACCTGTTCACAGAAAAGCATGATGGGAAATTATTTCCTGACTTGAGTCTTCCTTTTTAAATGCGAATTTTTATTTCTCTTTAATTATTTTAAAATATTTAGCCCTGGTGTGATGCCGTCCTGCGCGGCTGTTCTCTGGAGCAGCGTTAGTTTATCTCCATCCGCTTTCTCTCCCACCTAAGTGCGTGCCGCCTCCTGATGGAAGATTCGATGGACATGGACATGAGCCCCCTGAGGCCCCAGAACTATCTTTTTGGTTGTGAACTAAAGGCCGACAAAGATGATCACTTTAAGGTGGATAATGACGAAAATAAGCACCAGTTATCTTTAAGAACGGTCAGTTTAGGGGCTGGTGCAAAGGATGAATTGCACGTTGTTGAAGCAGAGGCAATGAATTACGAAGGCAGTCCAATTAAAGTAACACTGGCAACTTTGAAAATGTCTGTACAGCCAATGGTTTCCCTTGGGGGCTTTGAAATAACCCCCCAGTGGTCTTAAGGTTGAAGTGTGGTTCAGGGCTAGTGCATATTAGTGGACAGCACTTAGTAGCTGTGGAGGAAGATGCAGAGTCAGAAGATGAAGAGGAGGAGGACGTGAAACACTTAAGTATATCTGAAAAGCGATCTGCTACTGGAGGTGGTAGCAAGGTTCCACAGAAAAAAGTAAAACTTGCTGCTGATGAAGATGATGATGATGATGAAGATGATGATGATGATTTTGATGATGAGGAAGCTGAAGAAAAAGCACCAGTGAAGAAATCTATACTAGATACTCAGGCAAAAATGCACAAAAGTCAAATCAGAATGGAAAAGACGCAAAACCATCATCAACACCAAGATCAAAAGGACAAGAATCCTTCAAAAAAACAGGAAAAAAACTCCTAAAACACCAAAAGGACCTGGTTCTGTAGAAGACATTAAAGCAAAAATGCAAGCAAGTGTAGAAAAAGCACATTGAACAGCCCTGGGCACTACATGTAAATTAAGCCCAAAGATGGGGAGAAAGGAAAAGGAGAGACAAATATAGTCCATTTTGAGTGTCATCAACAATCCAGACTGAAGTCTTCTAGTTTAATCTCAATCCCCTTTTCTGATTTGCCACCCATGCCTCTTCAGGCTGGAAACAATCTCACTCTTGGTTCCCTAAAGCACTTTCTTCTGACTGCTGTGGTTCAGTGAACCTTGCCCTTTGCTTTCTATTACTTGTGCATTTGCCTCACCTCTGACAATGTTTTAAATTGCCTTTGTATCTCCTTAGCTGCTCAATAAATATTTGAATGAATCAATTTAAAAAAATATTGAGGCCGGATGTGGTGGCTCACGCCTGTAATCCCAGCACTTTGGGAGGCCGAGGCGGGTGGATCACGAGGTCAGGAGATCGAGACCATCCTGGCTAACACAGTGAAACCCCATCTCTACTAAAAATACCAAAAAAATGAGCTGGGCATGGTGGCACGCACCTGTAGTCCCAGCTGCTCAGGAGACTGAGGCAGGAGAATGGCGTGAGCCCGGGAGGCAGAGGTTGCAGTGAGCTGAGATTGTGCCACTGCACTCCAGCCTGAGCGACAGAGTGAGACTCCGTCTCAAAAAAATAAATAAATAAATAAATATATATATATATATAAACCTTTTTCTTGATCTTAAAGATCGTGTAGATTGGGTTTGGGGAGGGATGAAGGGTGAGTGAGTCTAAGGATAATGCAATAATCAGTAACTGAAACCATTTTCCCATCATCCTTTTTTCTGAGCATTTGCTGTACTTTAAGATATCCATCTTTTTCTTTTTAACCCTAATCTTTCACTTGAAAGATTTTATTGTATAAAAAGTTCTACAGGTCAATAAATTTAGAGGAAAATGAGTATTTGGTCCAAAAAAAAAAAGGAAAAATAATCAAGATTTTAGGGCTTTTATTTTTTCTTTCGTAATTGTGTAAAAAATGGAAAAAAAACATACAAAGCAGAATTTTAATGTGAAGACTTTTTTGCTCTAATCACTAGTTTTAGAGGCATTGTTAGTTTAGTGTGTGTGCAGAGTCCATTTCCTACATCTTTCCTCAAGTTTCTTCTATTTTTATCATGAATTCCCTTTTAATCAACTGTAGGTTATTTAAAATAAATTCCTACAACTTAATGGGGGAAAGAAAAACAACCCTCCCACTTCAACCTCTCGGGCTCAAGAAATCCTCCCACTTTGGCCTCCAGAGTAACTGGAACTGCAGGCGCTGCCACTATCCCTGGCTAATTTTTTAGTATTTTTTGTGGAGACGGGGTATTGCCATGTTGCCTGGGCTGGTCTTGAGCTCCTGAGCTCAAGTGATCATCCCACCTCAGCCTCCCGAATTTCTGGGATTACAGGTGTGAGCCATCATGCCAAGCCAGGATTTTTTTTTTGAGACGGAGTCTCGCTCTGTTGCCCAGGTTGGAGTGCAGCTGTGCGATCTCCACTCACTGCAAGCTCTGCCTGCCGGGTTCACACCATTCTCCTGCCTCAGCCTCCCGAGTAGCTGGGACTACAGGCGCCCGCCACCAGGCCTGGCTAATTTTTTTGTATTTTTTTTTAGTAGAGATGGGGTTTCACTGTGTTATCCAGGATGGTCTCGATCTCCTGACCTTGTGATCTGCCTGCCTCAGCCTCCAAAGAGCTGGGGTTACAGGCGTGAGCCACCGCGCCCGGCCTAGCCTAGATATATTTTTTATTTTTTATTTTTTATTTTTTTTTATTTTTTATTTTTTTTTTTTTGAGACAGAGTCTCGCTTTGTCCCCTGGCTGGAGTGCAGTGGCACGATCTCGGCTCACTGCAAGCTCCGCCTCCCGGGTTCCTGCCATTCTCCTGCCTCAGCCTCCCAAGTAGCTGGGACTACAGGCACCCGCCACCGCGCCCGGCTAATTTTTTTGTATTTTTTGTAGAGACGGGGTTTCACCGTGGTCTCGATCTCCTGACCTTGTGATCCGCCCGCCTCGGCCTCCCAAAGTGCTGGGATTACAGGCGTGAGCCACCGCGCCCGGCCGATATATTTTTTAAAATCACCAATTCTTTAATATTTTATCACAGTTACATTCAGATCCTTGATGTACACACTGAATACCTGTTAATCATGAGAGAAATAGTTATCTCGCACCGTTTCTTGACTAATCTTTGTCTTGTTGCTTTGAAATTGCACCATTATCCTATAGACATCTCCACGTGTTCTTAGCTTGAATTCCAGACTCAGTTGTGCACTGTTGGCCAGGCACAGTGTTTCATGCCTGTAATGCCAGCACTTTGGGAGGCTGAGGCAGGAGGATTGTTTGAGCCCAGTAGTTCAAGACGAGCCAGGGCAACATATCAAGACACCATCTCTAAAAAAAATAAAAAATAAAAAATTAACTAGGATGGTGGTATACACCTGTAGTCCCAGGTGCTTGGGAGGTTGAGGCAGGAGGACAGGAGGAGCCTGGCAGTTCAAGGCTGCAGTGGACTATGATCACACCACTGCACTCCAGCCTGGGTGACAGAGTGAGACTCTGTCTCAAAAAATTCTGCACTGTCTGTGGGGCAGCAGTAACATATTTGTTTACTATATCTTGAAAATATTTGAAAAGCCTGAACCTGCTAAGCACTTGAAAATTCCTGGCCAGCTGGGCGGGGTGGCTCAGGCCTGCAATCCCAGCACTTTGGGAGGCTGAGGCAGGTGGATCACCTGAAGGTCAGGAGTTCGAGACCAGCCTGGCCAGCATGCTGAAACCCCGTCTCTACTTAAAAAAAAAAAAAAAAATTAGCCAGGTGTGGTGATGCGTGCCTGCAATCCCAGCACTTTGGGAGGCCGAGGCGGGCGGATAACCTGAGGTCAGAAGATCAAGACCAGCCTGGCCAATGTGGTGAAACCCCATCTCTACTTAAAAAAAAAAAAAAAAAAAAATTAGCCAGGTATGGTGATGCATGCCTGTAATCCCAGCTACTTGGGAGTCTGAGGCAGGAGAATTGCTTGCAGCTGGGAGGCAGAGATTGCAGTGAGCTGAGATCGAGCCATTGCACTGCAGCCTGGGCAACAAAGGTGAAACTCTGTATAAAAAAAAAACAAAGTGCAAAGAGAAAAAGGAATAAAAAGACAAAGCAGAATATGTCCCGAGAACTGGGATAACTATAAAAGGTGTAACGTGCACAATGGGAGTAGCATAAGGAAAGAAAGAGAGAAAGGAACAGAACAAGTATTTGAAATAATAATGACCGAAAATTTCCCAAAATTAAAAACAGAAATTAAATCACAGATCCAGGAAGTTCATAGAACACTAAGCAAGATAAACACCAAAAATTATAGTCTAGGCATAATATTCAAACTGAAAGGACACAGTGACTTGCCCGAGATCACACAGTCAGCAGGTGACAGAAGTGGGATTAGAAGGCAAGCTTACCTATCCCCAGAGCCAACCTCCTTTGCCCCTCACCTGGGTTCCTTCCCAAGCTCACAGGCCAAAAGCCTGCAAACTGAGTCAGGAGAGAAAAATCCCTGTCCATCTCCCACTCTGGGGAAGGAAGGTAAAAGGAGTGCTCACATTCACTTTCAGGTCTGATAGACTCTCCTGCAACTACTTTTTGGAGGACAAATTGCTGTTTCCAATGGCTGATGCCTTCATTAGTGTAAAACTCTTATTGAGAACCATACAGAGCTGACATTTGCCACTGTTTTGTGACCATCACAAAAAGAGTCCCATATTCCGTTTGTTTTCCCTTTTTCTTTTTTCTTTCATTTTTGTTGTCGTTGTTGTTTTTTGTTTTTCTGAGATGGAGTCTTGCTTTGTCGCCCGGCTGGAGTGAGTGCAGTGGCACAATCTCGGCTCACTGCAACCTCCACCTCCTGGGTTCAAGTGATTCTCCTGCCTCAACCTTCCAAGCAGCTGGGATTACAGGCGCACACCACCATGCCTGGCTAATTTTTGTATTTTTAGTAGAGACAGGATTTCACCATCTTGGCCAGGATGGTCTTGAACTCCTGACGTTGTGATCCACCCACCTCAGCATCCCAAAATGCTGGGATTACAGGCCACCATGCCTGGCCTGTTTTCCCTTTTTCATTCTGCAGACATCAAAGGAAAACAAGAGGCAGGAAGGGCTGTGGCTGACAGCAGTGTCTCCCTCAGCCCTTACCTCTATGGGTGATGGGGCCAAAGCCCCACTGTCCTGCCAGCCACTGTGAACAGACAGCATTACCTGCCCCAAGAATGGAGCTCTGCAGGTAGAGGAGGCCCAAAGAGAGAGATTTCATTTTTTGTCCCTCGTCTAGGGGTTGACAGCTTGGACAGTAGTTTCCTAGAAACAAACTTTATTCTCAAGGAGATGGGCATGTCTGAGCCTGGAATGTTTACGTGAACAAATAGGACTTTTCTCTCTGCTCCAGCCTCAGCCTTGGCCATGAGACAAAGTTTCCCCTTCACCATCTGTGGAAGGATCATTTTTGTTCCACGGGCTCAGCTTGTCTGTGCTGGGGACAAAGAGCCACGAGGTGGTGCTATTGTCTCAGGTTAATAAAAACGAGGTCAAACACTGGGTATCCCTTAGGTATCCACAGGGATTGGTTCCGCAGTCTCCCACGGATACCAAAATCTGTGGATGCTCAAGTCCCTGATACAAAGTGGTATTGTATTTGCATACATCCTATGCACATCCTCCTATATACCTTTAAATCATCACTAGATTAGTTGTGATACCTAATACTATGTAAATACTTTGTAAGTAGTTGTTATATTGTGTTGTTTAAAGCAGGAATGTCCAATCTTTTGACTTCCCTGGGCCACATTGAATCTTGGGCCACACATAAAATACACTAACACGGCCAGGCACCGTAGCTCAAGCCTATAATCCCAGCAGCTTGGGAGACCGAGGCGGACGGATCATGAGGTCAGGAGATCGAGACCATCCTAGCTAACATGGTGAAACCCTATGTCTACTAAAAATACAAAAAATTAGCCAGGCGTGGTGGCTGAGGCAGGAGAATGACATGGACCCGGGAGGTGGAGCTTGCAGTGAGCCGAGATCGCACCCCTGCACTCCAGCCTGGGCAACAGAGCGAGACTCCGTCTAAAAAACAAACAACAACAACAAAAAATTAACCGGGCACGGTGGCACACGCCTGTAATCCCAGCTACTTGGGAGGCTGAGGCAGGAGAATCACTTGAATCGTGGAAAGGGAGGTTGCAATGAGTCGAGATGGTGCCACCACACTCTGGCCTGGGCAACAAGAGCAAAACTCTGTCTCAAAAATAATAATAATAATCATCATCATCATCAAATACTCCAACACTAATGAT